TCTTACCCAGTTAGTACTTTCCCATCTGACTCTTCCTCATCTTCCATCTCATTCCTCTAGTACTCTCTTCTAGCCTTTCAATCTAGTTCTTCTCCATCTCAGTTTGTTCCTCTCAGTTTCTTTTTTTTTTTTTTTTTTTGGTTTTTTTTTGCTTTTCGGAGCTGAGGACTGAACCCAGGACCTTGTGCTTGCTAGGCAAGCGCTCTACCGCTGAGCTAAATCCCCAACCCCCCTCTCAGTTTCTTACCCATCTAGGTCTTCCATTCTCTTTCCTCTTCTCCCTCCTCCAGTGCCCTGGAAGTTCTGGTATATATACACTTACAAGCAGTATTTTCTTAGCAGTGTAAAGCCAGGCTTCCAGGGTCAAATGGAGGGGTGATAAGAATCACATAGAGGGGCAATCACCGTTAATTATCATTTGCAACCCCAAAGGGAAGTGACCAATGGGGAAATGAATTAACTAAAGGCTAAATTTGGGTAATATCTAAGAAGAGGGATCTTATGTGCTCAACTATAGTCTTAAACATGATTAGTAGAAAATGTTAAGAATCTATAAGTTGCTAGGTCAATGGGAGAAAATAAAACTGCCTTCTTTTTTCCTGTGGCTCCTATCTGTCTGAGCTATCTGCTGTTTTTTCTGCAGGGTGGGGGAAGGTGTGCTCAGTCGCTAGGCAACCTGTGTGCAGGTAGATGCCTCTGGTGATAGTTAAAGGGAGATCTGGAACTGGAGGTAAGATTTGGGAAAGGAGGAAGTTAAGCTTAATTGACACATCCGCCAGGCCTTCTCAAACAGGTAGCCTGGATGCTTAAGTCTGTTCTTAGTACAGAGGTATCTCTGATAAGATACTTTCCTCCATCTGAGGATGGACCTGGCCGGATGCTGCCAATGATGATAATTACAGGGAGGCTTGAATTGGGGTTCTGGCTGAGCATAGCTGTCAGCACAGAAAGTTATCTAAATATCCCTAGAAGTGGTTAGATAAGGAGTTAGAGGTCTATAAAGTTAGTAAGGCTGTAAGAAAGGAGGGTCTGAGCTAAATTGTGCAAAGCCATTACTTAACGTCCACCTGACCTAGGTAGTGTCTCCTTGTGGAATTTACCTTAAATCAGGAGACTTGTTATTACTGTTAGTCCTTGAGAGTGACTAAGGGAGATATCTGATTCCAGAGAAAGCCTTTCCTGAGGCTGTTTTCCAAATGCCTGGAGTGTGTATGTCCAGAGAGTGATCAGTCTACACTGTTAGCCCTTCTTAGGGAAAAGTCAATTGGGAAAACTGTGAAGGCACACATGATTTTCATAACAGAAGACAGCTGATATATAACAAGCCAAGTAACACCAAAAGCTCCTTGGAATTTGGCTTCCTCTGGAGGAAATCCTTGATCCCTCCAGGTAGTGACTTTGCCATAACCAGCTGAGTTCTTATGGTATATTCCTGCGGCCCGCAGCACAGAATCAGTGACCCACTCATTCTCACACTCAAGAATCTCATAAAAACACTAAACTGAAGCCATAATATATAAGCAAAGGGCCCTGTGCATGCTGAAGACCTGTGCAGGTCCTATGCATGCTGCCTCAGTCTCTGTGAATTCACATAAGCTTTGATCATGTGATTTAGAGGACCTTATTTTCTTGGTGTCCTTTACGCCCTCTGGCTCTTGCACTCTTTCTGCCTCCTTGCCTTCAGGGTCTCTTGAGCTCTGAGAAGAGAGATTTGATGGGCACATCCCATTTAGGGCTTAGTGTTCCAAGGCCTCTCATTCCCTATATAACATCTGGCTGTGGGTCTCCGCATCTGTTCCCATCTTCTGCAAGAGGAAGCTCCTCTAATGATGGTTGAGCAAGGCAGTGATCTTTGAGTATAGCAGACTATCGTTGGGGGGCATTTTATTGCCACTTTTTTTTTTTTTTTTTAATAATAGCAGTATTTGGTTTTACCCTAGGTTCCTGGGCTATATCTAGTCTCACGTTCTTGGTCACTCAAGCAGTGTATATGGGTTTAATCTTGTGGAGTGGGCCTTAAATCAGATATTGTTTATTTACTCCCACAAGCTCTGTGGCACCATTGGTCTAGCAGATCTTGCAGGTAGGGCATCATTATATATCAAAGGGTTTACGAATGGCTTGATATTTACATTTTTTCTTTTGGTAGCATGCAGAGTACCTTCCTGTACCAAAGACACTAGCACTTAGAGGTGAAGGCTCTATGTAGGCTCCAGTTCAACTTCTTCAATGAGTTGTGTAGGTGTTAGCTTCAGCAATGGGGCTGATTTGGTCAGTCCAGGCCACTGGGACCACCTCTCAGGCAAGGGGTGGAGTCAGCTCTTCTAGCCCATGCCTTTGGGCCAGCTCTCCCACACCCGTGGTGAGGGGTGGGGCCAGCTCTTCTGCTACAGTGGCCAGCAAGGGGCAGGACCAGCTCTCCCAGGGCTAGCACAGGGTGGTGTCAGCGCAGTAGGGCGCTTGGATATTGAGGGTCCCTTGTGGGATCTTGGGTCATGGAGATCAGCACAGACTCCCAGCTGCAGCAGGACTACAGACCTAGACATGGTCCTCAGCAGCAGCCTGGAGGTCACCATGGCCCTGGCGGCAGCGCAGGCCACTCAGATTGGCATGGCCCTGGCGGCAGCACAGTGTTTGAGTACTAATGAAAGGTTAGGTGTTTATGGCTTTCTGGATTTACTTCTGGATCTTTTAATCCACTTTAATGTCTGCTCCCTGTTTGGTTTTGTGTTGGCAACATGCTAGTTCTGCTCTGATGGCTTAACATTTTTTTCACCTATGAAATCCTGAACATGAAGCCATTAGTAGGTTATTTTCTGGTACCAGCCAAGGGGTATCTAGTCTCAGGCCTTTGAACCTGGTGGATCAGTGCTGAAGCCTCCCATTAGGCAGAAACATTGTGTCCGAGAGGCTGGCGCCCTTGGCAGTTAGCTGCACCTTCTTCTCCTGCATGCACTTCCTGTCTTGGATTCTTCCCTGACCCACCTGGATCCGGAACGCCTGCATCAGAGACTGCAGGAGCTGCATCTCCTCAGACACACCCCCAGCCACAGAAAGGGCTTTCTTCCCCCTCTGATGTGACAGGAAGTCACCTTTAGCCATATCCTGTACTCCTCTGTGATTCAGGCTTCAGAGAGTTAAACATACATGGCTCTTAAAATTCCAAATCAGGACTTTTCATGACCATTTCCTGTTCTGAGTTAAAATTTATTTTGGAAATCAATGCTAGAAAATGATTTCTTTTATACCTTTGCTGTGTAGAGTGTGGTCCACTTTGACTTCTAGCACCCAGCTTACCCCCATGGGACTCATAACAATACAGAAACTTAGGGCCTGCCTTGTATCTGCTGAGTCGGCACCTATACTTAATGAGAACCCCTTGTGATCTTTGTGTTTATTGGAATTTGAAAAGTAACCATCCTAGATGATTTACACTCGATACCTCAATGAAGAGACGGTGACACATTTATGGGAAATTTAAAATGCATCAAGAAATTATACATATATATTTCAGCCCCCAAAGTCAGCATCTTACTTAATGATGAAATTCATCCCTAAATCAAACATAAGACAAGGGTGACCAGTATCACTACTACTGTCTAAAACTACTTTAAAAATGTCAGGGCTGGAGAGACGACTCAGGGGCTTAAGAGCACTGACTGCTCTTCCAGAGGGCCTGACTTCAATTCCCAGCACCCACATGGCAGCTCCCAACTGTCTGTAAATTCAGTTCAAGGGGATCCAACACCCATGGCAAAACACCTACGCACATATAAAAAAAAAAGTCATTCAATGTCGCTAGAGAAAGGAGCATTTTTCAGAGAGGAAGAGGGGTTGGGGAGATACCTCTGTGGTAAAGTGTTTGTTGAAGCATGAGGGCCTGAGTTCAGATTCTCTGTACCCACATAAAAAGTCAGGCGTGGTGGTGGGAATCTATTATCCCAGCATCAAGGGCATGAGAAGGAAACAAGGAGAGATGACACCTGCCGACGACCTCTGACCTCTGACCTCTATACATGAGCACATGCACCCACATACGTGTCTCTACAACACATAAGGGAGAGGGCAGAGTCACCTGTGCTGATAGGTCACATTACGGTGCACGTGGATAATGTATTCAAGTCTTTGAAGACACGACTTAAACACTGAAGTTAGTAAAGTCACAGTTTACAGCGAGTGTTCCGAGGGACTGGTAAGGGGGTTCCGTTGGGAAAATACTTGCCACAAAACCACGGTGACCTGAGATCAATCTCTAGAACCCACAGTGAAAGGAAAGAACCAATTTCCAAAAGTTATCCTCTGATCTCCTGTGTATGTATGGGTCCTGTGTATGTGCGTGCCCATACACACACACACACACACACACACACACACACACACACACAAACACAAACAACACATTAAATAAGTAATGTTTAGGCCGGGTGGTGGCGGCGGCGGCGCACGCCTTTAATCCCAGCACTCGGGAGGCAGAGGCCGGCGGATCTCTGTGAGTTCGAGGCCAGCCTGGGCTACCAAGTGAGTTCCAGGAGAGGTGCAAAGCTACACAGAGAAACCCTGTCTCGAAAAACCAAAATAAAAAAAAAAAATAATAAGTAATGTTTAAATAAAATTAACATATAGAAAGCAATAAATTTCATATGTAAAAGAATAAGAAACTACTAAGATTTCTTTTTAGATTGACACAAAAATACTTCAGCATAGACCTAATAAGAATTGATCAAAATGTATGGGTACAATGTTCCTCAAATATGTAGAAACAGTAAAGAAGGTAGAAAGCCATACTGAATTTGAATAAGAAAATTTATTATTATAAAACTATACACATCAGTTTTTTCCTTGAAGTTTAACAAATTGATTATATATTTCATTTTGAAAAACTAAATATAAGTATCTTAGAAAACCTTAAAAAGAAAAATAATGAGCAAGAACTCAGTTTTAAGCCAGATGTTAAAGCATTTTACAAAGCCTCTATAATTAGAAGATGATTGTATTGGCAGGTGAGTAAATTGGCAACCGATGGAACCAAATAGAAAATGCAGAAATAGCCCTGAGTGCGCATGGGACGTCAAACTCCGAGGAAAGCTGTTCCTGCAATCAGTGGAGAAACACGGAGTTTTCAGAAGTGATACTGGGACAGCGGACATCCATATGGAAAAGGCAGAAATGACTCATCCTGTGCATGATACACTAGCCCGTTAGTCCAAACACTGGAGGAAAACGGTGAGTTCTTTGGGAAGACTCAGTGAAATTTCCCCAGATTTAGGGGAGACTTAATTATTTTAGTTATATATTAAAAGTTCTGTGTTGAAAGGAAGCCAACAACCAACCCAAAAGCTAAGCAAGACATTAGTGCTGTCTGGGGAAATACCTGTGACTCCTCTTATCGATGAAAGGTTAACGTCTTAACAGCTAATGATTTCTATAAATTGAGAAGACAAATAACACTGGCCTTGTAAAACTGAGCAGGAAATCCACACGTAGTTCACAAGAAAAGAAATGCAAATGGCCCTTCCAGATGCGATAAGGTGTTCCAACCCGCTCCTCATTAGAGAGAGGAAAATGAAAACTACATTAAAATACCATCTCTGCCCTGTCAGACTGGCAAAACTCCAAGGGTTTAACAATGAGATTGGCGAGGTTGGAGAGAAATTGGCACTTCCATGTTTTGTTGATGAGATAAAAGGCCCAGAGGAGGCAATGTGTCCATTATCGGTGTTCCACAAGCATTTATATTTTGACCCATCAATTCCATGTCAAGAAATATTTCTTAGAGAGTCACTGGCAGAAAATATGGAATGGCACATAAACAAGACGATTCAATTTGTGTGTGACAGAAAACTAGAAAACAACCCATGCCCGATGCCAAGAGCCTGCTTAAAACAAACTCTTACATATCCACACAATGGAGAAAAGTTCTAGGGCAGAGAGTGCCTGTAATATGCGATTCCTTACCTGAGAACAGGGGCACATGTTTTGTCTGTTTACGCTAATTAATTAATACAATCTATATTATATTAATGTTAACTAATTAAGCAATGGATAGAGAAAAGCCCACACTACTGAAAATGATTATCTGGGGAGTAGAGAGCAGGGAAACAGGGTTGCAGGGGTGGAAATGGCGGCCTAGGTGTCTTTAAATGTGTTTTATCATATAGATGTACTTAGTTGGATTTTTAGAACCACGCAGTAAACATTTTTTACCCAATATTAAAGTAAAATTGGATAAGTATGAAGAAAACAACAAGAAGCAAGGAGATCTTTAAGAAATGAGAACACGCTGGGCGGTGGTGGCACACGCCTTTAATCCCAGCACTCGGGAGGCAGAGCCAGGCGGATCTCTGTGAGTTCGAGGCCAGCCTGGGCTACCAAGTGAGTTCCAGGAGAGGCGCAAAGCTACACAGAGAAACCCTGTCTCGAAAAACCAAAAGAAGAAAAAAGAAAAAAGAAATGAGGACAAAGAAGCAAAATTAAAAAAAAAAAAATAATGTGTTTCCAGTTAGTGGATTTGTGTCTCAGTCACACAGAGGATCATTTTCTGTGACTTTAAGGAGCATGCAAGTTCAGATATTCACAGTGCAATATACCCTGCTGACAAGAAGAACCAAGAATCATGTTGCATTTAGTGGGCATGTTGGTAATACTTATATGGATATTCTGAAGCCATAGTAATAAATGTAGTAAGCAATTATGCATTGTCATTTAGCACCAAGATCTTTCAGGATAAAGTGATGCATATATAAAATTAATGCCGTTAAATTAAAATCCTGTAGTCTGGAAATAGATGAACGCATATTTCTGTCCCTGAGAAAACGATACCAAGCACAGCAGAACTTGCGTGCTCACTCTGGGCACTGAAAAGGGCTGGAAACTGTCATGCCATAGCAGTGGTTATTATCTTCAGTTAGTGCTCAGCCTCTCAGTTCCCTGTCTTAGGATTCCTTGGAGAAAGTGTTGATTCCTGGACTAAAGCAGCGATAGACAAGTTATTCCTGGAACACCACGTGGGACTGGGAGCGAAGAGGACAGCCCGGACAGCAGGCGTTGTTGGAAATGGCTTAGAAGCCAGTCTGAGGAGTCTTCCACTGGCCGCAGATGGGGCTACGTGAACGTCCGAAAGGATGATGACTATAATGAACTAAAAAGTCAAATGCAGGGCTGAGAAGCTGGCTCGCTGGGGAAAACACTAACTGGGCAGTTGTGAGAACTTGAGTTGAAATCCTCAGAACCCATGTGAGAGCCAGGATTGGTAGAGCCTACATCTGTAATCCCAGCATGCCCTGCGGGGAGGCGGGAGGCAGAGACAGGAGACTCTGAAGCTCTCAGGCCTGCTGTCCTGGTGTACACAGTAGAAAACCAAAAAGAGCCCTACCTCCAGTAAGGTGGAAAGTGGAGACCAACAGCTGTTATCCTTTGCTCTCCACACGCCCACGTCTTGGCTCTCATGCACAAATACATATACATACGTGTCACACACACACAAGACTTAAAAAAAGATATATTTATTTTTATTTTATGTGTATGAGTGTTTTGCGTGCATGTATGTGCACTACTGTGTGTCTGGTGCCTGTGGAGTTCAGAAGAGGGTGAAGGATCCTCTGGAACTGGAACTGGAGTTACCCACCCTGTGGGTGCTTGGAATCGAACCCAGATCCTCGACAAGAGCAGTCAGTGCTCTTAACCCCTGAACCATTGCTCCACATACACAAGATTCTCAAAATATAAAATACATTAAAAGCTCATTCTCATAGAGGAAACAAAAATGAATTGGTAACCCTCGAAAACTATTAGACACCATTTCAATATTTTAAAAACTAATGAGAAAAAGAACAAAACGTTTTTCCCAATTTCATGAGCAAACTTGAAAGTCACAGTGCTTGTCATGTGAAGGATAATCTGTACAGGATAATTTTTAGCTGAAGGGTGCTGAGCATCTTAGAAGTAGAAAAACAAAACAAAACCAGACCCCCATTTTGCAGCCATAATGGAGCTGTGGATCTCTAGTGGCTGCTAGAGTCACTGGGTGAAAGATGGATGGAGAGCATTCCAGGGTGGCCCAGGCAGGCACACCCGTGGACTCATTAATGTTAACCAGGAGTGGCATCCAGATGTTAATGTTTCCTGAAGTGATATGATCGCAAGGCCCAGTATCCTTTCCAAACATTGCCTCTGAGAAGAGTCCAGGTGAAACCAGTCCTTACTGGGCATGGCAACACAGGTCTCTAATCCTGGTATTGGAGAGGCAGAGGCAGACAGAGCTCCTTACAGACCAGTCAGGCTACCTAGTAACACCCTGTCTCAAAAGCAAGACAAAACAAACCCCCAAACACACATACACGCACACACGCAAACCCACTACAAGAACTTTACATCTATAGCTCCCAGAACACAAAAACTAGAACGCACTGAATGACACTCTAAAGAGGCACTCAGCCAACCCAAATGGGGTAAATTTATCAGCAACTTCGTTTCTTTAACAATTAAAGGCACAAGAAAAAAAATGTGGGTGACGGGAATTATCAATTAGCTGACTTCAGAGACCAGTTAGTGAAGCACAATGTGTAGCGTTTGCTTGGCTCTCCATTCACACAAACCAGTTATAAAGACATTTATGACACAAGCAGATCTTCATCATCAACAGATACAGAGGCGTAGTATAAAACAGACTGTTAAAATGACCATTTTAGTCACTCTTAATTGTATGGCCACCTCAGTGGTGTCAAAGACATTGTACAGTCACCACGACAACCCGGATCAGAACTTCTCTTGTATCTTCCCAGATTGAACATCTGTGCCCAGGGACTGTAAGTCCTTAGACCCTGAAACCCACTGTTCTGCTCTCTGTATCTTTCCACACTCACCATTCCTCCTCTCTTGTGAGGGGCTTGCTTCCCACTGCACAGCGCTTTCAGTAGTCATCCACACATCCATGGCATGTGCCGGTTTCCTTCACTGTTAGAGGTTGTGTGACAGTCCATTGTCTGCATAGACAGCATTTGATTGACTCATCCATCTATCTAGGGACACCTGGCTGCTTCTACCTCTTGACTGCTGTGAACGTGGATGAGCAGACGTCTGTCCAACTTCTGCTTTCAATTCATTTGGACATATCCAGGGATGGGGAGTCCTAGGTCCTGGAGCAGCTCTGCCAGGGAAGGGGTGTGCTGGGTCATGGGGCAGCTCTGTTTTTAACTTTTGAAGGATTTGCCATCCTGTTTTCCACAGTGTCAGTGCTGATTTAAGTTTTACCAGCCGTGTGCAAATATTTCCATTTCTCCTTAATCTCATCCGTTCACCTTCTGTTTTGATAACTGCTATCCTAAGGGAAGTGAAGGGGTATCTTATTGTAGTTTTAATCAATGATATTGATCATGTGTTAATTTGCTTATTAGCTTTTTTGTGTATTTTTCTTTAGAAAAATGTCTATTCAAGTCCGTTTCCCATTTCAAAATCAAGTTTGTCTTTGTTGTTGAGTCTAGGAGTTCATTGTATGGTATGGACATTAAGCCCTTATCAAATATATAATTTTCAACTCTGTTGGTAATATTCTTTATCCATAAAATTAAAAATTATTTTGAAGTCTAACTGGTCTTTGTTAGAACATCTAAACTATCAATGTTAAGTCCATTGTCAGTCTCAGATTTTTATAGTAAAGCTATTAAGCTTAATGCTCAATATATTTTTAATTGTTTTTGTACTGCTGCCAGATGAGAGTCCAACTTCAGACTCTGCCTGGGATCCCCAGGAGCCACACCTGACCTAGACTCAGGGGAATGGATGGAACTAGAAAAAAATCATCCCGAGTGAAGTAACTCAGACCCAAAAAGATAAATATGGTGTGTATTCTCTTCTATGTGGATTTTAGCTTTTAAGCCTTTGATAGGCATGCTACTATATGAATAACCACAGAGGATCGGTATAGAGTAAGGAATTAGAAGGGAGGGAAGGCGCTCCCAAGGAAAGGGGGAATAGAATAGATAGTTAGGTCGAAACAAGGGGAGACTAGAACAGGAGGATTAACCACAGAGGGTGACAGAAGAATAAGGGAGAGAACATGGGGAGGGACAGTTAATAATAAGGCCATTTGAGGGGTCATATACCTACTGCAGTAGAAACTTCTTTAAATACATATCTGAAAGAAATCTAAATGGACTCACCAAATAACTGGAAAGACAAGCCTCAACTAGAAATCTTTTGCCACCAAGTAAAACCTCCAGTGCCAAGAATGGGTTACAGCAAATTGAACTGTTGGCCAAAGGGGCCCCATGGAAACCTCCAAACAGTTCAGGCTTTTGCCAAAGGCTATTGGTTACTTTCCACAAACAGATGGCAAAGCCCTGTTGCTGAGGTCAACTCCATCATAGCCCATTGATCACGGAGAAGTCAAGCTGGTGCTAACTAACTAGGGCCTTCAACCCCTAGTGACTAGTGTTCCTGGTACTAGAAGATACTCTGCATGCTACCAGAGGAGAAAGGAACCACCAGCCCAGCTACAAACCCTGCGATCGACAGTGGTGATCTGCCTCCGTGATATGCCGGTGCAATAGCGGCACAAGCTTTGTGAGTGTAACCAACCACTCTCTGATTGGATTTGAGGTCCGCCGTATGAGATGGAACCCATGCCTGACACAGCTGAGGTGGCCGGGAATCAGAGACTAGTTAGTTAGGCCTGGGGAAAACCAAATACTATTGTTCTGCTTAAGGAACATAGCAGTAAAATGACTCCTAATAATGTTCTGCAATACCCAACGTTCAGTGTCTCAGCCATCATCAGAGATGCTGCTTCTTGTAGGAGATGGGAATGATACAGAGACACACAGCTGGACAGTGTGCAAAGAGTGAGGGAGACCTTGGAACACTCAGTCCTAAATGGGGTGTCTTCATCAAATCTTTCTCCTCAGGGCTCAGGTAACTGCTGGGGGATGTCTTTCCGTATGCTGTGAATATATGTTGTTCCCATTGGTTGATAAATAAAGCTGCATTGGCCTATGGCAAGGCAGCTTAGAGGCAGGCAGGAAATCCAAGGAGATATATGGAGAGAAGAAAGGAGAGGAGAGGGAGATGCCAGCCCGCCACCCAAGGAGCACCATGCCAGCAGACTGGTAATGCCACGGCCACGTGGCAATACATAGAATAATAGAAATGGGTTAATTTGAGATGAAAGAGCTAGCTAGCAAGAAGCCTGCCATAGGCCATACAATTGGTAATTAATATTAAGCCTCTGAATGATTATTTTATAAGCAGCTGAGGGACTGCAGGGCCAGGAGGGACTGGAAGACCATGGGACCATGGGGCTGGGTGGGACTGGAGAAACTTATGGCTACAGGTAACCATATAGAAGAGGAAGTGGAAAGATGGTAAAAGCCAGAGTAGATGATGACACCAAGGAAACCATGTTTTCCAGACACAACAAGATATCTTTCTGTATGCTGTGAATATGTGTTGCTCTGATTGGTTGATAAATAAAGCTACATTGGCCTATGGCAGGGCAGATGGAGCCAGGCGGGAAAATCCAAGAGAGGTAGTAAAAGGAGAAAGAAGAGTAAGGGGAGATGCCAGCCACCCAGGGAGCAACAGATGCCAGCAGACCAGTAATACCCTGGCCATGTGGCAATTTATAGATTAGTAGAAATGAGTTGTTATAAGACCTAGCTAGCAAGAAATTTGAGCCATAGGCCGTCCGATTCGTAATTAATATAAGCCTCTGAGTGATTATTTTATAAGCAGCTGCAGGACCACAGGGCTGGGCAGGACCAGAGAAACCTTTTGGCTACACTGAGGTACATATGAACTCATAGAGACTGTGGCAGCATGCACAGGCCTGCACAGATCCAAACCAGACAGGTACTCAGTGCTGAGATGGAGAAGTAGATATGAACTCCCATTCTGAACCAAGAAGCTATTTCTAATAAACAACTGCTCATGAAGGAAAAGTAGTTTCCCCAAGGGAGTCTCACTGGGTATACAAACTACACTTAAAGACAGGACCCATGCCCAGCAGTAGATAGTCAATACAAAATGAACTCAAAGGTATTTTTGAAGATCTTTTGTCGCTTGTTTTTGAGTGTGTGTGTGTGTGTGTGTGGTTGTTTTTTGTTTCTTTTGCACTTTACTGGTCTTTTGCTGTATCATGATTTCTGATTTTGAGTTTTTATGGGATGTGTGTGTGAGTGTGTGTGTGTGTATGTGCGCATGCGCATATGTGCTCATGCTCACGTTCCTTATGTTCTTAGTTTTTTTGTTTTTTGCTTGTTAGTTTGTTCATTTTGTCTGTCTTTTTTATTTGCCTGTTTGTTTTCTTAGGAGAGAGAAAGAAGGTGTGAAGTTGGAAGGATCGGGAAGTGGGGTGATCTGGGAGGAGATGGAGGGAGGAGAAATTGTGATCAGAGTATATTGTATGAAAATTATTTTAAATTAAAAGTAAAATTATATTAAAAAGAGAGTCCAACTTCATACTTTTTAACCCATGGATATCTAGTTTTCCTAATACCATTTTAAAAATTGTTTAAAACTGTTTAAAAACTGGAGAGATGGCTCAGCGGTTAAGAGCACTGGCTACTCTTCTACATGCAGGCAGAACACCTGTACATAAAATAAAAATAAACCTTTAAAAATTAAAAAATGTTTAAGAATTTCATACATCCATATAATATATTTTTATCTAGTTCACCCCGTCCCCTCTCTCCAGTTCCTCTCCTCTCCCTCCACCCCCACTATTCCTTCTGAATTTTGTGTATTCTGTTTTTAACCCACCGAGTCCACTTAGTGATGCTAGTGTTTGCATGAATGTAAGGTCACCTGCAGGATTGTGGGAGCCTCTCAGGGCCCACGTCACCGAAGAAAGGCCCACATCACTGAAGAAAGCCAACTCCCTCTCCCAGCAGCCATCCGTTGCCAATATCTCCTCAGCTGGTGGTAGGACCTCGTGACTACTTTCCCCCTCCACGCTTGGATTTTGTCTGGTTTAATCATGTGTAGGTCTTGTGATTGCTGTCACAAGCCTTGCAGGGGCGGCGGCGGGGTGGTGGTGGTGGTGGTGGTGGTAATACTGTTGTGGGGTATATGATACCCCACTGACCAACAGTTACTCAGGAAGGGGTAGCCCATTCTTGCCACTGGGCTTTTTGTTTGATGGACTGTGGTGTCTCTGTCAGCCTGGGAGGCACACTGTCTCCTTGTTACAGGCAAATGCCATTTAAACTCATAATGAAGCAAAGAAACAAACAAAACAAAAATCAAATGCAGGATTTCACTCTAGCCATAGTTGGCCTGGACTCTCTATGTAGACCACACTGATCTTGAACTCATGGAGATCAATCTGCATCTACCTCCCAAGTGCTGGGCTTAAGACAAGTGCCACCCCACTTGGCTAAGTTTGTTTTGTATACTGTGTATGTACATATCTTAGGAAGTTTCTACAGTAATAGCTTTCCATGAGGGTCTTTCAAGTGCTAGTTATCCCTCCGTATACTCACGGCTCTGCCCTCCCATCCCCACCTCACTTAATGCTTCTTACTCCATTTCCCCATCCCCTCTTCATACCACCTGTGTTCTAGTTCCTATTTCTATTTCCCTAGGCTGCATGGTCCCTTACTACTTTCCTGAATTCTATGGATATTTCAGTTTAAATATGCATACTTAAAGAGTCAAAGCTAGCATCCAGATGTTGGAGTCATGTGATATTTGTCTTTCTGCATGTGGGTTACCTGACTCACTATAGTAATTTTCAGTTCCATCCATTTACCTGCAAATTTGATTTTTCTTAACAGCTGAATAATATCCCATTGTATAAATAGACCATATTTTCACTTCCCATTTAATGGCCATCGAGGCTGCTTCCATTCCCTGGCTATTATAAAGAGCAGCAGTGAACATGGATGAGCAAGTATCTTGTAGTAAGGCATAGAGTCCTTTATGTATATGCCAGATTGGTATAGCTGGATCAAATGCTAGACCTATTATTTCTAGGTTTTTGAGGAATCTCCACATTGATTTCTTTGTGGCTGCACCAGTTTGCAGTCCCTCCAGTGAATAAGTATTTCCATTTCCCCACAGCTGCACCAGCATTTACTGAGTTAAAAAAAATCTTAAGTCATTTTTGACTGGGGTTAAATGAAATCTCAAAGTTGTATTAATTTGCATTTCTCTGATGCTGTTGTTATTAAACATTTTAAAAAGTATTTCTCAGGCATTTGTATTTCTTCTTTTAAAAAGTCTCTGCTTGCCGGGCGGTGGTGGCGCACGCCTTTAATCCCAGCACTCGGGAGGCAGAGGCAGGCGGATCTCTGTGAGTTCGAGGCCAGCCTGGTCTACAGAGCGAGATCCAGGAAAGGCGCAAAGCTACACGGAGAAACCCTGTCTCGAAAAAAACCAAAAAAGAAAAAAACCAAAAAAGTCTCTGCTTAGTTCCATGTTCCAGCTTTTAGTTGCATTGGTGTTTAATTTGTTTTAGTTCTTTGTATACTGTGGACGTTAGCCCTCTGTCAGATGTACAGTTTGTAAAGATTTTGTCTCATTCTGTAATCTGTTTGTCCACTCACATGATAGTGTATTCTCTTCACTCACGTGATAGTATATTCTTTTCAGTCAATGATAGTGTATTCTCTTCATTCAATGATAGTGTATTTTCTTCACTCAATGATAGTGTATTCTCTTTACCCAATAATAGTGTATTCTCTTCACTCAGTGATAGTGTATTCTCTTCACTCACATGATAGTGTATTCTCTTTACCCAATGATAGTGTATTCTCTTTACCCAATGATAGTGTATTCTCTTCACTCAATGATAGTGTATTCTCTTTACCCAATGATAGTGTATTCTCATCACTCAATGATAGTGTATTCTCTTCACTCAATGATAGTGTATTCTCTTCACTCACATGATAGTATATTCTCTTCACTCACGTGATAATGAATTTTGCTGTACAGAAAACTTTTAATATTATGGATCCCTTTTAACAGTTATTGGTCTTAATGCCTGTCTTACCAGGGTCCTGTTGGGAAAGTCATTTCCTGTGCCTGTAAGTAGAAGTGTAGTCCCTTGTAGGGAATTATATCTTTTCATGTAGCTGATTCAGGTATCTGGCCCATGATCTATTGGGAGTTTTGTGCAGTGAGTGATAAGGATCTAGATTTCATTTTTCTAATGGAGCTTCCATTTGGAGCAGCACCACTTGCTGATGAGTGTCTTTCCCCCAATGGGTAGTTTTAGCCTCTTTGTCAGTCATCACATGGTTGTTGGAATGTGGGCTTCTATTTGCATACTCAATTCTATTCCATTGATAAATGTGTTTGCATTTATGCCAGTACCCTACTGTTTTGATTAATGTAGCTCTGTAGAATAACTTGAAATCTGATGCAATGATACCTCTGGCAATGTTTTTTATTTTTCAGGATTGTTTTGCCTATACTGGGCCTTTTACATTTCCATACGAAATTGAAGATTATTTTTCAAATTTCTGTGAGGAATTGCATTGGAAGTTTGATGGGGATTGTGTTGACACTGAAATTGCTTTTGGTAGGGTGGCCATCTTCACAATATTACTCTGGCCAACACACAAGTATGGGAGGGCTTTCCATCCTCTGGGATTGTCTTCTGTTTCCTTTTTCAGTGTCTTAAAGTTTTCATTAGACAGATTTTTTTCACTTCCTTGGTTTATGACTTAGGGTTTTTATTGCTGTGATTAAAATACCATGACCAAAAGCAACTTTGGGGAAAAGGGTTTATTTCATCTTACACTTCCAAGTAACAGTCTACACTGAGGGAAGTCAGGGCAGGAACCCAAGCAGGACAGGAACCCGGAAGCAGGAACTTAAGCAGAGACCGTGGAGGATGCTGCTTCCTGGGTTGTTCCCCATGGCTTGCTTGGTCTGCTTTCTCATACCATTCAGAACCTTGGACTCAGGGATGGCACCACCCACAGTGGTCTACGCCCACATAATCAATCATTAATTAAAAATATGCCCCACAGGCTTGCCTACCAGTCAATCTGGTGGGAGCATTATCTTAATTGTGTTTCTCTTCCCAGATAACTCTAGCCTGTGTTAGACATAAGTTGACATAAAAACTAGCCAGCACACTATGGGAGTACTAATTTCTTTAAAATAATATTTTTATTGTTTGAGAATTTCACACAATATATTTTGATGATACTCATCCCCCTTCCCCAACTACTCTTACATGGATTCCCCATCTCCCTACCCACCCAACTTCATGTTCTTTCTCTATTTCTTTAAGTCCATCAAATCAGTTTATGTTGGCCAGCTCCTTCTGGGTGTGGAATCTATTGTGGAGTTCCGGCATGTAATACAGAGTTCACTCCATGGCTTCTTGGGGACTCAAACTCCAGTACTCATATTTGTGTGCTGCAAGCCCTGAGCCATTTCAGCAGCCCAACATTAGTTTTTGAGCTCAGGATTTCTCACTGAACTGGAGCTTACTGATTTGGCTCTGTTGGTTGGCTGGCAAGCCTCTGGGATCTCTATCCCTGCCCCCAGTCCTGGGGTTACAGATGAGTACAGTTACACCAGACTTCTGTGCAGAGGCTGGGATCCAAACACTGGTCCTCATGCTCACACAGCGAGGACTTTACCCAATGGGACACTTCCCTAGGCTCCAACTGATTTCTTCTTCAAACTTTCCAATGGATTTCTTTCACATTAAGGATGAAACCCAGACTCCTTCAAGGCCCTCTCTCAGTTGTCCCTGACGTCACTTCTACCTTCTTATTCTTCTCAAAGGGTTCTCCTGCAAGAAGCAAGTCTCAGCTCAGTCAGGGCTCAACCTACCATTATTTCTTTCAAAAAAGTCTTTTTAACGACTCTATCCAAAGTTGAAAGTATCATCCTATCAAAGCAACCAGCAAAGGTGATTTTTCCTTTCAAGATATGTATTTATGTATGCTTTCTTTTATAAACAGGGTCTTGCTATGCAGCATAGGCTGGTCTCAAACTCTCATCAGCCTGCCCCAAAGCCACAGTGCTGAGATTACAACTGCACTGTGAGTCAGCTGTATGTACGTGTGTGGTCCCTCACTTATGGTTACTACTAACTGGAGAGTAAGGATCTTGTCTCATTCATTCCTGATTGACTCACTTGCCCTAGATCTCTGCCTGGTGCTTGAGCAGGTATTCGGTGAATTTGCATTAGATGAGTGAATTTGCTTCCAGGATATTTCCGGCTGTGTGGAATGAGTTCTGGTCTCTCCGGGAAAGAGAACTGCATCAGCCATTTTTCTCACCACTACAGGAACACCTGACAGAAACAGCTTGAAGAATGTTTTGTTGTTGTTGTTGTTATTGTTGTTGACTGTGTAAGAGAGTACATGAGCTTCTGGTTACATGATTTCAGTAGTTAGGAGGCAGAGAGAGAGAAACACTGGCTGGAACCTGGGCCAGACTGCAGCCCATAAGGCCTGCCACTCCAGGGACCAGCTTCCTCCAGGGAGGCTCCACATTCTAAAGGTTCCCCAACCTTCTAAAACAACCAGCCAGGTGTTCAAACACACGGGCCAATGGGGGGATGTCGAACATCCAAACCAGAACATGAATCAACTGAAAAACGGGAGGCTGACTCTTGTGATAGCCTAGATGGAGAGGTGTGGTAGGGGGTCAGTTCAGGCCTGTCTCAAGTGAAGAGAAGAAAGACACCCGTATGGCAAGATTAGGTGTGACTCATTGCTTGACTGAAGAGAGACGAGGGGGAAGATGGAGGTTCTGACCCAAAGATACATGGTTGGGGAGTGACAGTGTTATCATTAATAAGAACAGAAATGGGAGAGAGGAGACGCTTACGGATTCTATTTTTGACATAGTATGGCAGGGCGCTAACGGGGAATTAGGTATGAGGAATGTGACTGGAGAGAGAGGTCACCTCTGGAGACACCACTTTGGGAACTAACGTCTGCATGAAAGTGCTAATTAAACCCATGGGGCTGATTGGAAGCTGCCAAACCAAGAAGCCCAGAGAAAACACAGCCTGCATCAGCTGCAAGCCGGCCAGGAGGAGAGGAGGGTGGTGGGTGGAAGAACTGTCCAGCGCTGAACGCCGCCCCAGGCTGCTGGGATGAAGTGGACGAAGTCACAAAAATCTGCCTCCCGCTCACGTGATTCTCTGCTTTCCAAACTTTGGTTTCTCTCCCCGGTAAAAGCTGTTTTCTTTCTAGACCTCTCTTAGCCTATTAGCTTTTAAGTCTCATTGTCTATTAATGGAAACAAACGCCAGTCATTCCATAAAAGCTCTACCTTTTCAGGGCTCCTGCACTGTACCATGTCCTAACACGTTCCAGTTATGGTTCGCATGTGTTCAGTCCTCCAAGGGCTCCTGTGCTGGAAGCTTGGTCCCTAATTCAGCTGTGTGAAGAGGCGTGGTGGTGCACACCTGCTACAGGAAGCTCACTGGGCTAGCCCCGGCTGCACAGTGATGCTGTCTCAAGCAGACAAACAACAGAGGCTACAGATGTAGCTCACTGGTAAGGAAGGCACTTGCCTAGCTCACAGCCCCTCCCCCAACAATAAAACAAAGCAAACGACAATAGCACAGACAAACATAAAATCTAGTGGACTGGGGTCTAGCTGAAGGTCGTTTGGTCGTTAGGGGATTACCCTGGGACAGGAATCACGTCATTCTTGTGAGACCCCCTATTTGGTTCGCACAAGAGTGAGTTAATACCCCAAAGTGAGATGAGCCATTCCCCGGTCTCTGGCTTTCTTTTCCCGTGTGATCTCTCTCTGACGTGTCCTGTCATGATGCAACCTGCACTGTTGTGACGCAGCCAAAGGGACTCCCAGCAGAGGCTGAACAGGTAAGACTGAGGCTCCTGTCTTCTCAGCTTCCAAACCCTCTAGTTAGTAGATGTTCTTCCTTCTCCCTTCCAGCTACTGAGTTCCCAGCCTCTCCAGCGCGAGGGCAGAGATTGCTGGACTATTTAGACGGTATCATGTAAACCGGCCCTATGCGTTCCCTTAGTATACATCCATTCTGTTCCTCTAGAGGACCCTGTCTAACACTCCTATAATAACATCTCCTCGAAGTGCTTTTTCCTTTGGTTTCAGCTAGGACATCTCGTGGGGAACACGCGATGGACAAACAGGGAAGTGTTTCTGTCCATCATTTTAACCCTTTGGACACCTGTCCCACAACCTTGAGTTAAACACACCCTACCCAGGAAGGTATCTGTGATATCTCCTTATTGAACTACGGTTTTAACTGCCCATGCTCAGTGTCTATTTCCAAAGTGCTTTCCTAGGTGAGCAGGAGCATGCAGGGGCTCACAGATGAGACCCCCCCGCTTCCTTTGCTCTTCACCCTGCTTTCCGAACGACTCCAGTGCTCTCCTTACTGGGTGCAGGCAGTAACCTTCCTCCATGTTAGCGTCTGGGTGGCAGTTTCGCCTGTGGTCACAAGATGTTAACTACAGTCTTTTCTGTTCTTTTTTTTTTGGCCTGTGCTGTGACAAAATACCCTGTTAAAATCAAGATAGGGGAGGGGAGTGTATTACTCAGGGTTCTCTAAAGGAACAGACCTGACGGAATATATATATTAATATATATATATATTAAGAGGGGATTTTTCAACTGACTTAAAGGCTGTGGTCCCCGTAGTTCAACAATGGCTCTCATGATGGAAGGGCTGAAAATCCGTCAGTCATTCAGTCCAGGCGGCTAGATGTCTCTGCAGTTCTGATCTGGTGCTGGAGTCCTGCAGGGTCTGGAGAGCTGCTGGGCTTCAGCCTATGTTGAAAACCTAAAGAAGTTGGATTTAATACCAGCAGCAACAGGCTAGATGAGCTTGTCTTCAGCCTATGTTGAAAACCTAAAGAAGTTGGATTTAATACCAGCAGCAACAGGCTAGATGAGCTTGTCAGGGCAAGCGAGGGCAAGCAGGCAAAAGCAAGTTCCCTTCTCCCGTGTCCTTCGTGGGGGCTGCCACCAGAAATGTGGCCCAGATTTGGGGTGGGCCCTCCTGCTTCAGATAATCTGATGAAGACCCTCCCTCACAGGAGTACTCAGTAGCCTGGGTGTTAGCTGATTCTAGATGCAGTCACGTGGACAAACGGGATTAGCCATCGCAGAGAGAAAGGGGTTTTTTTTGGCTTACAGTACCAGAGCAGATACAGTCTGTTATGGCAGCAGGAACATGAGTAGATTGGCAGTTGGGAAGCAGAGAGAGAGAGAGAGACAGACAGACAGACACAGAGACAGAGAAAGCCAGAGAGACAGAAAATAGGAAGTGTAGTTGTGTTATACAACCTCAAAACCTGCCCCCAATAATCCTTCTCCCTTTAAGACCCCTCCCTTCTTAAGGGTTCCATAACTTTCACAACTGGGGAATCAAGCGTCCAAACATGTGAGCCCACAGAAGACGTGTCTTACAGCCTCTGAATACACAGAAAGTGTACTCTGTTTATTTCCAGGATTCTCCAGCATGATTCCTCCATGAACTCACCTCAGGCAGCCTGAGGCCGTCAATCAGCCATCTCACCTCTTCCTCTGCCTCTGTCCCCAGTCACATGAAAGCATGTGAAGGAGCGTCCCACCGACACCACCCTATGGAGGAGAGCCGTACTCCCTGTGTGCCAGCATGCTGCCTGGGTTGTGTCCTCCACAGCTCTTCTTTGCAGAAGGCACTTGGGGACTGTGCGTGGAAGACTGGGCTAGGGGAGAGTCAGCAGGCACCCGGCCTCTTCTGAGGTGCCCTCCTGCATCCACAGGAAGTTTGTCCACCGAAAGTTTGCAGTGACCCAGAAGCTGTTAAAGCTTCCAGCTGTGAGCACCGGTAGGTAAGCACTGTGATCTTAAATGGTGTCAGAGGACAGGAGGCATGACTGTCCTCTGCAGCAAGCACTTCCTTGCCTGAACCACAGACCCACCTTTGTATCCCAGATCTCACAGGTCACTCTCTTTAAAGTTTTTGGAACTTTTTTCCTTTAAAAAAAAGTATGTCGCTGCAAACATGGCTTTTTTTTTTTTTAAAGTAAATAAGCAGAAGAAAGGACAAACTTATTTATTACAGTCTTTAGTTATGAAGAAATTTGTTGAGACGTTTATGTTTTTAAACCATCTTAATTGGCTTAATTTTCAAGTTTGGAATTATCCCACACTCGGTTCTGTAACAGGATAAGAAGCATGTGTTTTTACAGATAGAAAGGGTGTAAACAGAAACAAAAGAGTAGGATCGCTTAGGTCCCTTGAGTAGACCGATCCGTTTTTATCCTGGCCTCTTCTTTCCTGGGCTTTCCTCTCACCCACCTTCTGTGTCATCATCACTGATAACTCCTTCTTCGTTTGACTGTAAAGTACAGCTGCTTTGCTCGTGAACGAGTGTGAAGATTGTTGTACCCATGTTGCAGAATCCCCAGAGACCACCGAGGAGCCAGTTTCCGATGCAAGCACACAAGGGTCTTTTTATTCTCAGACTCAAACATGGACCACCACCCTAGGCTCCGACACAAATGGAGGGAAATGTGGCAGCGGCGGAGGCGGGCTCAGGGGTAGGAGAGTTTTTAAAGGAAAAAAAAAAAACACAAGCCGGGAATTACATGCCTTGGTGTTTGGAGATTGGGTGGAAGGGATATGTGGCAAGGTGATTTTTTTTTTTAAACTATTGGTCTAGACTTTTGGTGCAAAACTACATTTGAAACGATTGGGTTAGACTTTTGGCGTGGAACCATAACCTGCAGACAGAATTATCTGGATATCTGCAAGGGCCATAAACTGTCCGCAGGATGTCTTTAGGAGTATCTGGATCTTGTTAAACTTTACTGCCTGGTTTCTTAATTGGCTGCTTCTAGGGTATCTGTTCCAGTTGTCATGGCACATTCCTGAGGTCCTTCCTGGAACTGAGTATGGCCCCCAGTCACCAGGTGGTCTAAGATGGTGGCCTTTCCCTAAGATGGAGTCTGTAAAGTCAAGTTTAGGTCTTCATATGGCCTTCACAAATATCTGTCTGTGCTGATGGCTGGTGGCAAGCCTGGAGGAAGAGCCAGCATGATAGTGTAAGGACCTCATGTTGATACTGTTCTGCTACAGATAAAGTACTGTTTCAAAGCCTGGAGACTCCCTTATGATTTGGACAGGAGTATTTCAAGTGTCCCATGTTATTGGATATCTGCCGCTGCTGGTGTAATAAGCCAATCAAACTGAACTGATAAATCCAGGTTTAATGAACAGAGCAAAGGAACTCCTGGGTGCCCCTTAGGAGGGCAGAAGAGGAATCACATGGCAAATATGGCTACCAGGTCTTAAATAGCCTGCAGGTGTGGTCTTAAGTAGCCCCAGGGAGGGGCTGACTTTGGGGGGGGGCTTTCTCAGAGGGAGGGATTTGGAGGGTGCAGTTCCAGGAGATATCCCCAACAGGTACCATTTTGGGAGGTCTGGGAGATTTTAGGAGGTGGATCTAGGTAAAGGAAGTAGGTTACTGGGGCTGTGTATTAGAAGGTTTATGGACTTGGTCCCCAGTCCCTTCCTGGATCCCTGCTTCCTGTTCACTGTGAAGTAAACAGCCTCTTCCCCTACACACTTGATGTTCTGCCCAAGCACCTGGGACAAAGTGACTTGGACTAAGATCTCTGAAACTGTCACCCAGCTGGAACCCGTCTTCCCTTCAGACATTTCTGTCATACATTTTACCACAGCATCGAGTAAATGAACCAAAACACACACCAAACCCCATCGCCCTTTCTCCTGACTTCCTCCCGCTCTCTTCAACAAGGCCAGATGGCTTCTGAAGACCCAACTCAAATACCATCTTCTCTATGCAGCCTTCGCATCCCTCCCAGGAAGAGGAAATGATACATCATTATCGCCTCCAGGGACGCAAACTGACCAGCGAAAACTCCATGGAGCAGCCACCTTTTCGGGTGGCTGCTCAATCCAGGGATGGAGAACGTACAGAAATGTGCTGTGAGAGGATCAGGTAGCTTTGAGAGCACTAGAGAAGCGAGAGCTAATTGCGGGGCCATTGACATCTATTTAAAAAGCTGCCTGTTGTATGTGACCGTTCTTTGAGCCACGAAACTGGCATCTTGGAGTTCGGCTGCGCCCATCGGGCGAGATGATTATGCCAGCTGGGCTTGTTGACCGTTGACACGGCGCTCATGGGGTGAGGAGGGTCACGAGACCCTCACCTGAGTATCCAGCTGCTCCCCATTACCTGCTGTAGACAACCCTGCTTCAATTGCTCGTGGCCTCCAGGAGGGGGTGGCGGGTATCAACCAGGGAAGACTTGGGGAGGGGGCCACCATCTGTGAGGCGAAGAGGAAGCCCTATGCCTGCTGGGTAAAGGCTTTTCAAGTGCAGCCTGTTGGGGGAGGGGACACCTCCTGTAGGTAACCCCCCTCACCTAGTCTTCCTGAGGACGCCTCAATAAACTCATTGGTTCCCTGGAGAGAATTCTGACAGAATCGTGCCTCCATTTGTCATGAGGACCTGAGGAGAAGAGGTAGACATTGCTTATGCTCCCAGGAAAGAATTTTAGTAACTCTGCTGCATAGGTAGGAGTAGGAAATAATTTGCTTTGCTTATTGCCATAAAGATTTATGACAGTCATTTGTCTAACTCATTTGCCTAGGAAGAGTGGCCGGGCTCCTGTGGGTAGAGCTCCCTAACTCTGAGCTGGTGGTCACTACATCCCTTCAGGGATGATGACATCCCCTTCCTGCTCCCCTGAGCTTTCCCCCTTCCTCCTTCCCCCTCCCTCCTCCTCCTCTTCTCCCTTTACTGTAATGGCTGCTCATAGAATGGATTACGGCTGAAAGCAAATTCATATTTTGTGATTTTTTTTTTCTATCTTAAATTGTGAACTTCCTTCAGACACTGGCTTGCCAGTGTTTTGGTGATAATAAAGGCGGTATTTATTGAGCATTATATATTATTCTAAGTGATAGATGTATCTGAACTATTTTTGTACCACAGCAGTCCCCATAGGTGTGATTACTATGACTTACAGATGAAGACTCTATGCTGTAGAGAGGTTAGCAAGCCCTCTCAACCATGAGACCACGTGTTTGTTTCTAGAGTCCTGCCTCTCTTTAAGAGAGCCATTTGGGCTGTGATTCAAGTTGATACTTTATGCACCAAATACAGTGTACTGTGTAGATACGATTCCTGTCACACACATAATATTTTTAAGATTTTAAGTAATTAGGGTTTCAGAAGGCAAACAGAAGTCAGAAAACACAAATGATACCTTGTATCTGAAAAGCTGTCTACAGCATTATGGTCGAAGTGGTGAGAGGCTAGACTCGAACCAACCTTAAAACATTTTTGCAAGGCTGCAGTATGAAGAAGTAGCCATTGAAGGAGTCTATGTTGAGATCCATTTATAAAAAAAAGGCAATTATGCGTGCACCGGGCAGGGGCAGCGGAAGCCCTCGTCAGTGTTGACAGTACACTCATTTATTCCATATGATTAGCAGGATTTGTCAGCAATGAATTACAAATTTTCCCTTGTAAAGGCTGTTTCCTCCCTCATTTATATATAGGCAAAAGCCATATCTAGCATAGAAAACAAAATAAAAATAACTGCATGTATTATAAGCATCTCTGTTTATAAGTCAGTACATTCCCCTTTTGAGAAAACAGTGTATGATCCAAGTGTGGGCGGTAGTTTGAATATGGAGCTCTGTCATGTGCTTTCAGAAGCACTTCAAGAAAAGCGCTGAGCTAATTAAGTCTATTATTCCTCTTCCTCCTTCTAAGGAAAGCACACACACACACACACACACACACACACACACACACACACACACACACACACACTGCCTGGGGCAGATCATATTCATAAGGAAAAAGACCTGCACTGTGGGTCCGTTACAGCTCTACAGCTCTTCCTTGTTGTGACCCAGGGAGAAAATGTACAGGTAGAATTTTCCACAGGAAAAAGAAAAGGAGTTTTTTTGCCTTAGAGAAGATAGAAAGTTCGTCACTTTCACATGGAATAAAAGTCACATTGGCAGCAAAGAGAAGCCCGGGTCCTCGCCTCTACAACATCGCCCACTAAGGAGGAAACTGCCAGCTATTTCTTTGTGTGTTCTCCAGGAGTTAAGCAATCACGCACATCTGGTTTGGAAATTGAGAATTCTCTCTGTTGTAGGTTAAGTGCATGAGTGAATTAAGAGAGGTAAACCAGCCATCTGCTAAGGGCTCACTCGCCAGGCAGCGGGGGCAGGCACCATTTACCTCTCAAGGAATCCTGGTTGCAAAGTTTTGCCAGGCTCTTATTTGTCTTCCGGTTGCTACCCTGTCCTCGAGGGCCTGGCTAATGATCTACAGAACATATGGCCGGGGTGCTTTCCTCCTCTGCTGGCATTTGGTCTCAATGTCTGCAGGCAGGGTTGGACACCCACGTGTTACCTTGTAGCACCTGGAATTCGGCTGTGCTCAATCTTGGATTGATTTGGAATAGCTTCATGGAACAGTGTCAACTCAACACCAATCCTGTCATTTTAAGGAGTCTACTGATGATACAGATATTAGCTTTTAAGGCTTACCACTATAAAACAAACAAACACTAATACTGGGTATATCTCTTAGATGGTCTTTAAACTTTAAGTCAGGTAAAGCATTGTTACAAATGAAATCAAATGTATTTTTATAATGAAATGTTTGCAACACTCAGTATTCTGAAAGCACATAATCAAAAGCCTGATACCTTGAATACTTTCAATAATAATTATAAAAGGACAGAGATGACCCATATATATGTGATCAATTAAAATAAACAGAGGAGATGAGATTGACAAGGACAGCATACTTGCCTCTGTTTGTAGCCTGTATTCACTCATTACAGTTGAGGTTTGAGTCCCTCCCTCCCTCCCTCCCTCCTTCCCTTCCTTCCTCCCTCCCCCTTCCTCTCTCCCCCTCTCCCTCTCTCCCCCTCTCCTCTCTGTCTGCATGGTGTATATGATGTATGCACTTGAGGTTGGGGCATGGACACCCTTGCAGAGGCTGAAGGAGGCATATGATGTTTTTCTCTAGCCATCTCTGCCTTGTGCCTTGAGACTGGCTAGGTCTCTAACTGAACTGGAAGCTCTTGGTTATCAGCTAGACTGACTGGCCAGTGAGCTCCTGAGATCTGCCTGCATGACCACTGTCTGTGTGACCATTTCTGTTTTTTGTTTTTTAAATAACTTATTTGAATTTATCTTATGTGCATTGGTGTGAAGGTATCAGAGCCTCTGAAACTGGAGTTACAGGCAGTTGTGAGTTGCCATGTGGGTGCTGGGAATTGAACCTTGGGTCCTCTGGAAGAGCAGTCAGTGCTCTTAACTGCTGAGCCATCTCTCCAGCCCCCATTTCTGGTTTTTATGTGAATGCTTTGAATTCGAAGTCACCAAGCACTGTTACCCACTGATCTGTTTGCCTAATTCTGAGGTTTGAGTTTTAATAAGTACATTTATCAATTCCCAAGAATGTTATTTCTACTAAGAACTATAATTTTTGTATCTACCCTTGAAAGGAAATTTGTTAGGAGTATGAATCCCCAAAAAGCAGCCTGGCTTAGCATGAAGACATTGAATTATGATACTGTTCCCTTTCAATGCCATGACTTCTGCTTGTGAGCCTGGAGGAGGTGCTCTACCCTCCAAATCAGCTGAAGTCTTATCTGGGAAATGCTGTCAATCTTTCCCATTCTTGGGGATCAAGAGGAGCAGTGTAAGGTCCATACAATCTATAATGCAATGTACACACAGCAAATGAAACTCCATGAACACAATAGCCACAGGAATCTCACCAGGTCATTGCAGCAATCAAGATTTATAACACACGGTGGGAAAACCTGAGCTTTAGGTCAGTGTGCAAAACCCCTCAATCTGCCCTCAATTTTCATAAGTACTCTAAGTAGTTTATACATTGGTTAACTCTTTCCTATTCCTAAAGCTATAGTAAGAAGGTTCAGTTCCCTGCTAGATTCCATTCACTTGTTTCTTTGTTCTGGCCAGTCTCCTAACTGGGCCATTTAGCAATATGATTTAAGCTTATTATTTGTCCTGGGCACATGAAAATATAAATGTTTTATAAAAGAATAGAAGTAAAAGCCAGATGCAGCCCAGAGATCATCAGATCTGGAGTTGAGTTGCATCATTGGGACATGTCATCTTTGGGGTACATGAGGTAACCTCAAACCTATCGATTTCTTCATCTGAAAGTAGAAAATACCTCTTGTCTATTTAAAAGGGTCATTATAGTTCTGGATAAGTGGGAGGGGGGGTTCGAATGTGAGGATCAAACAGGGAGGGAAGAGGGAGACAAGGGAGGAACTATGGAAAGGGACAGCTAAAACTAAGGGTCATTGGGGGGGGGGGTCATATGGAAACCTAATACAGCAGATGTTTCCTATGTTATATAAATATATGAAGGCAATCTAAATGAAATGTCCAAATAATGGAGGAGACAGAGCCCCAACTGGACATCTCTCACCACCAAATAAAGTTTCCAGTACTGAGGATAGGTTACATCGAATTGAGTTGTTGGCTAAAGGGGCCCCATGGAAACTCCCAAACAACCTTGGCTATTTCCAAGGCTATTGATGGCTCTCCACAAACGAATGGTAAGGCCCTGTTGCTGAAGACAACACCCACACAACTCACTGGACATGGAGAAGTTGAGCTGGTGCCTACCTAGAGCCTTCACCCATATAAGCTAGTATGCATGGTACGGGAAGGTACTCTTCGTGTTACCAAACGAGAAAGGTGAACACCAACCCAGCTACAAACTTTCAGTCTACAGGAGTGACCGGCCTGCAAGACACACCGGTGCAACAGTGGTACAAATCTTACAGGAGTAAACAACCAACCCCTGATTGGAGTCGAGGCCCAGCCCAGGAGATGGAACCCATACCTAATACTGCTTGGGTGGCCAAGAACCTGAGACTAGATAGATCAGGGACCAAGGGGAAAACCAAATACTTCTGTTCTGCTAAAGGAATGTAGCAATAAAATGACTGCTAATAACATTCTGCTAAATTTGTAGATAGGTGCCTTGCTCAGCAACCATCGGAGAAGCCTGTAGCAGATGGGAAAAATAGAGACCCACAGCCAGACAAATGCTGAGAGAGGGACCTTGAACTATTCTGCCCTTAAAGGATGTCTCCATCAAATACCTTTCCTCAAGGCTCAGGGAACTCTGTGGAAGTAGGGACAGAAAGACTGTAAGAGCCACGGGATGGAGGACACCAAAGAGTCAAGGCCTAAATGTAGTAGGCCAGATGCACAGATGACCTCACAGAGCTTGTGGCAGCATGCACAGTATCTACACAGGTCTGGGCCAAGTGGGGTCCTAGAGCTGAAAGCAGAAGTAGACATTAGTCCCCCTCCTCAAGGGAGTCTCACTAAGGATACCAACCACTCTTGGGAACAGGCTCCATGCCCGGCAGCAGATGGTCAGCATGAAATGAACTCAATGGCATCTTTGGAGGTTCTTTGTCTCGTGGTGTTGTCAGGGCATTTTTTTGTTTTTGTTTTTAACCTTACCCGGTCCTTTGTGTGCATATCATGGCTGCTGGTTTTGGGTTTTTATGGGTCCCTGAGTGTGAGAACACACTTGTCTCTACATCTATATGTTTCTTGTGCTTTTTCTTTGGCTCTTTTTCTTGTTTGGTGGTTTGGTCATATTCTGATTGGTTTGTTTTTCACTTATTTTATTATATCATTATTCTTTAGATGCCTGTTTGTTTTCTAACAAGAGACAGAAAGGGTGTGGATCTGGATGGGAAGGGAGGGGAACTGGGAGAAGTTGGGGGAGGGGAAATCATTCTCAGAATATATTGTATAAAAAAAAATCTATTTTCAATAAAAGAAAAAAAGGGGCCATTATGACAGCAAAGGAGGTAAGGCATGTATTAAAATTTTATACATAACAGCATA